TTAAATTTTTTTAACATTTTCTAATGGTGGTGTGCCTCGTGATTTTTTTTCAGAAAAAAAGTGTGCCTTTGCACAAAAAAGGTTGAAAAACACTGGTTTAGACAATGTCCTATCTCTAATTAAAATAGTCAATTTAGTTATCTCTGCAAGTTCCAATATTTCCCTAGCCCTTCTTCCATGTGGATGAAGTCAAATCTCTCCATCTTTATGCATATAATAGGCGTGACATAGTCATTGTATATAAAAACAAAACTCCATAATTTTTTTCCAGCTGCTTATCCACTAATTCCAAAAGAAAAGTTTCTGGTTTCAACTGCAAACTTAAAATCTTGTATGTTATTGAGTACAAAGTTTTCTGGCTTGTTACCCATCCATCAACCATGATAAAATATCACTTCTTGTTGATTATATTTCCAGCATAAGTTTGAAGAGATGTTATACATTCTAGAAAGCTTTTCCAGTGACATGTATCAATGATCCATTGCTTTATAAAATTTGGTTTAAGATTACTGTATAACGTAGTTAAATTTCAATTTTTTCAACCAGGTATTCTCCCACTGATCCCTGTGTATACCAAAGAATTTTAGCACATTGTATCATACATTCTTTCACTTCTATTTCATATTCAATAAACATGCATTTTAGCAGATATAATTATCATTTGTATACAGTTCTATTTCAAATTCAAACTCAAGCTGACTTTCTAATAATTGTATATAACAAAAGCATTAACATGAATAACCTTCTACCACCAGTTCTTTGGTTTTTATTCTACATGCTCCTTGACAATATTCTAATACATCACATTTAAGACATTTTATATTTAGTAATATTTATCTTCTATAAAATGTTTCTTGTGCTGACAACAGCAAATATATTTTTGGGCACGGCGTAAATTTCTATCTGCTCCATATTCTCAATATGGCATGTCTAACAGTGGCTTTTAAAATCTACATTAGCCTTAACTTTATCATGCCATAAATATCCATGCCACCTAAATGTTAAATGATGCCCTTCTAATTCCAAAGGCCTCCTGTTTCTTAGCATATCCATTATTTTATCCTAACCAAACAAGCTACAAAATTTAATTTCAAATCAATTAAGCCAAATTTTCCTCTTTCTTTTTTATCTCGTAACACCTTATATTTAACACCTCATTTTTTTCCTGTCAAACAAATCTTGATAGGTCTTTTTTCCATTGTTTAAATGGTACATCAAATGTCAAAACTGGTATCGTGTGAAATGAAAAATAACATTCTAAGCAAGACCTTCATCTTAATCACAAAGATTCTCCTCAAGAATGACAATTGTGTTTTCTCCCATCTTAACATGTCTTTTTATATTTCATTCCAGTTTTATTATAATTATTTTGGGCAAACATACAAGCTCATATTTGTCATATTAATACCCAAATCTTTTATCTTCTTCTCAATCTTAAAACCCATTTTATTCTTCAATTCTATTTGATCTTGTGTTTTTGTAGTTTTAGTCAACATCTTTTTATGTTTATTGAACAAAAAAAATCTGGAAGTGCACCAAATTCTTTTAATTTTCTCATTAAAGTTTCAATTCCATTTAAATAGGTTCTCTCAGAAACTACCAGGTGATCCGCAAAGGTTCTTAATTTAGAAGTTTCTTTTTTAATCTTTAAAACCCTTATCCTCCACTCTTATGTCTCTGTTCAAAGCTGAAATATGGAGACAATGGAGAAGGAAAACATTGTCTTGTTGCTTTTTCTATTTCACATGGTTTAGATAAATTTCCATTAACTATTATTGGGTGCTTTCTGTGAAATCAGCTTTATCCATTTTATAATACTCTCCCTGAAGTCCATATCTTCCAAATTTTTAAATGAAAAGGTCCAATTTAAATTTTCAAAAACTTTCTCTGCATTCCAAAAAATTAATGCAACTTATTTTTCATTGTGCGATTCAAAGTATTTCAAAATATCCAAGACCATTCTAAAATTGTCCTTTAATTTTTTGTTCTGAAACATGATCTTCATGAATAAGTTCTGGTAAAATTATTTTCAATATATGACCTAAGGTCATTGTGAACAGTTTATAATCATTATTTAGCAATATTGGTCTATAATTTCTTGTCAGAGTCAAATCTTGTCCTTTGAGTATTCGTTATATATGCCGTATATATAGTATATTTATATTACAAATGTTTATATATAAAAATAGTATGGCCTCATTCAAAGATGATTCTTAGCTGCAGCTAGGGGGGCTTGTTCAGTTACAACGTTAGTACCATTTGTGACCATTTGAAGGACTTGCTCAAAATCAGTCATTCCTTAGTCATCTCCTGTGTGGATTATTGTAATGCATTTTAAATGGGATTGCCTTCAGAAAGCGTTCAGAAATCACACCAGATACAAAATGCAGTGGCAATATTGGGAGTGTATCCCGATATTCCAGTGTTTCAGGAGTCGTATTAGTTGCCACTTGGCTTCTGGAGATGATTCAGTGGGGCACTTATGTCTTTTAAGTCCCTACGTGGCTCCAGACCCAATTCTCTGAGGGAATATTTTTCTGCAAATTCATCTGCCTGCCCATTCATATTGAATATGGGTCCATTCTCTTCATGTCCTCTCTGTAGGAGATTGTCATCTGATGGGGCCTTGAAAGCGGGCATTTTTCCCTTGCCACCCTCATAGACCTTTCCCATGGAAGATCTGCTCCTTCCTTCCTGAATTTCAGGAGAGCAATTAAGACCTGTTTGTTCCACCTAGCACAGGTGAAGGTCATTCTGTATCTATATCTTTGATGTTGCCCATTTTCTTTGCATTAAGATGGGTTTATTATTTCTTAAACATTAGTCTAGATTTGAGTAAGGGAGATCATGATATTTGTGGGAACCAGGATTCATATGAATGAAAGCATGCAGTTCCCAATGAAGTATTGTATCAATTCCCTCAGAAATTGCTTTCTTTAAAACACCGTTAACGGCTTGCTTCTTCTCCATTCCAAGAGGAATAATTCTTGGCTTTAAAATTATTTTGACCTTTGTTTGTGGTAAATGTTCCCAACATTTGTCTTTTTTTTTTTTTAAAGACTGCTCTTCAACTTGATTTTGGCTTGGCTATGCATAAATCCTGCTATTTGGGCTTTTTTCCCCCCTCCAGCGTTTTGTTCCTTCTAATCAGAGACAAGATAGCTCAATAAAATTTAGGGTCACCCAGGTCAATGTTTCTATTTTCTTTCTCTCTTTTTTAGATATTCTATAATGTAGACATCTACAGACCTTGAGGGCAAGAATGCATTTTTGATTCTTAAGCTGGGTTTTACATAATGCTATTGAATTAGCATTTGTTCAGAATTCCTGGCTTTATCATCACTGTTATTAAGGTCTGTATGATGTCTGAACTATCAGCTGAATGTAGCCTATCCCGTGACCCGTCAAAACCGCGGTCCACAAAAGTGCGATCGACGAAAGCGCGCATTTGACGTCATCACAGCGCGACGAAANAGATGGAGAGTCAACAGCCCCCAGGTCTGGAAGTGGCTGATGAGGAAGAGGAGGAACAGCTAAGCCCAGTGCCTGACATGAAAATGAGCAGAAGGCAGAGGAGAGGAGAGCAGTGGAAATCTATGGGCCAATCCTTGGGACGGAAGAGCCACCGCTGCTAGCAAAGTCCCACCCTAGCTCTGGGGATAAAAGGCAGGGGGACAGAGAGGAATAGATGTGGTAGACAACTATTTATCTCCCTGCTGGATGGACTCGTTAGCTTGCTGTGAGGGAGAAACTTTTTGCTGGGGCTGCCGGCAGTCCTAATAATGGAACCATTGATTTAACCACAGAGAGTTTGTCGTGTTTGGGCAGCTGCGTCAGAACACAGTGTTTTTAATGTGCAGCGCTTAAAATGAAACCATTTGTCTTTTCTCCTTTTTGTAGGAGGAAGAACTAGGGATGAGGACAGCAGACAGTCGCCTAGCAGGTAAATGTAAAGTGCTTTATGGATGGATCTAGAGTGTTGAGTGAACGGATGCCATGGGAGTGAAATCAGCCAAGAGAACATTTTGGACTTCAATGTTTCTCAGCAGGGACTCAACCCTCAGGCTTTCCAATTAGCTTTCAGCACTGACAGCACAGTACTCATATAGGGCATTTATGTCTTTAATGACCTCTGTGGGGGCTAACTGCCCATTCAGCAGCAACATTGACTCTTAATCTTTTTTTTTTTATCCCCGGGTATTTTAATTGTTAAAATAGTAAGATATAAAGGAAAAAGAAATCTATATTTAGATAGATAATGAAACAACTCAAAGAGAAGCAACTGGGATTAGAATTAGAATTCTTTATTGGCCAAGTGTGATTAGACATACAAGGAACTTGTCTTCGGTGCATAACTATTAAGTGTACTTAAAAACACGATGGGGAAACTTTCAATCTACGCTTCCTTTCCATTTGTTTCCGCAACTGCTGACCAGAACTTCAACATTTATACTTTTAATTGAACATTGAAGATTATTTTAATATCTATTTGAGTCTTTTCATTTGTTATTTTTGTTTTTCTGGGCTCATAATTCCAAATGTCTAAATTTATCCTGCTGTGTAAATGTGTTGGTATAGAAGGAAACTATTCTTGCTTACATTGAGTTAGTCCAACATGATAGATACGGTATGTACTGTCCCTTTTGTCAGAGCTGTGTAGTCTCTTATTTTGATCTTCCAATCTGATATCAATGGTAAATGTATTGCCAAATTTGTTCTTGCAGCTGTCAGCATATATCTTAATGAATTGTGACTGTTCATTTATGTTTTCTGGGATTATGCTCAATAAACACATTGGTGGTTTCAATTAAAAATTTATCTTTAGGACTTGGTGAATATTTTTATTATTTCTTCCCAATATTTTAGGTTCTTTTTACGTAACCACTGCATATGATGAAATATTCTCTTTTTTGTCCTTCAATTTCCAGCGTTTATTGTTACACAATTTGTCTGTCTTGAAAATTATTAGCAGATCAATATGCCATCTGTAAAAATGTTCCCTTAATCTTTGATAAAAGTAAAACAACTTGCTGCGGTAAAACCGGCACACACTGCGCTTGGCTTTGGTATAGTAAAGCTATAATGTTTGTGCTCATGTTCCATTTTCCCAGCTCAAGGAAGAGAAGGGAAGTGTTTCCTTCACTTTCGAATTGACTGCATTTGGCTGCTATCCCTTGTCCATTATATATTTTGTTTGATCTACCATGATATGTGAGCTCTACCTCTTAACAGTTTAATTGAGCAAACTATGGTTTAAAATACTGGTTTAATCTTACAGGTAAATGAAATTAAACCTGAGTTATTGAAAATAAAATGAAAGCTTCCAATCACTGCCTGATGTTGGTTGGGATAAAAATCAAGAGGAAGGCAATTTATGAACTCATGTCTCAATAGCATAGTATGCTTTATTATAGGAATAGGAAATCATGACACAACTAGAACATGCAGAGAGATAATTGCACCACATTTCTTTGCATAAAGAAAGCCAGTGGAGGCATCTGGTTAGCAGATGTAAACTATACCCGGTGCAGTGAAGGAAGCCTAATGAAAAGATGGGGCTTCCATCTCTTTGCAGACACAGAATAAATTATACAAATAAAGGTAAAAGTTCCCCTTGCACATATGTGCTAGTCGTTCCCGACTCTAAGGGGCGGTGCTCATCTCCATTTCAAAGCCAAAGAGCCAGCGCTGTTCAAAGACGTCACAGAGGTCACGTGGCTGGCATGACTAAACGCCAAAGATGCACAGAACACTGTTACCTTCCCACCAAAGGTGGTTCCTATTTTTCTAGTTGCATTTTTACATGCTTTCAAACTGCTAGGTTGGCAGAAGCTGGGACAAGTAACGGGAGCTCACTCCGTTACGCGGTGCTAGTGATTTGAACCGCTGAACTGTCAACCTTTCTGATCAACAAGCTTAGCGTCTTAGCCCCGAGCCACCAGGTCCCTGCCTAAAAAAATAGATACATGCAAATTTGCATAAAGTTGATGCTGGTCACAGAACAAAACATCACTAGGTGCTGTGTACATATTCTGAAGATTATCTGACCTCCAAATAAATTGAATTCATTTTGTCTTGTGTTTTTCTAGATTTTAAGAAAAAGATACATTTCAAAGTTATTCGAAACCCCGGAGACTTGGTGCAGTTTATTCAGGACATGAAGGCGAATGCCCGGAAGGTGAGGCTTTTTAATAGGACTTCCTAAATTGACTCAAGTTTACTATTATGATAAGCATCTCTTTGGTCCCTGTAGCTACACCGAGCAATCCTCCCCTTCCTGGTGCCCTGCTGATGTTTTGGATTTTTATTTCTAAAAGTTCCAGTCCGTCTGATACCGGCTATCCATAGATTCACACTCACACCAATGCACCTAGAAAGGGAGAGGGGGAATTTACAATATTTTGTAAAGCCTTACCCTGTGGTAAGACCGGTGGCCCCCCCCCCCCCAATATTAAATAAATAAATATTTTGTGATTGACCTTGTATCCCCAGAGCAGCTCATTTATATAACCCAAGTCCTTTCTGGAATGTGCCTACCAATGCCTGCAAGCCCCCCTTTTCACCCTTCGTCTGCTTGTAGCTTTAAAAAGCATTCTACATCTTTTATCTATAGCTCACAGTTGGACTGGGTGGTGCTACCTCTTCCCCCCACCCTCACCCCCTTGGCAGTTTCTGAACTCCCCCATGTCCCTTTAGGGCAAAGAGAAGGCTGGTGAATCTGAAGACACGGCGCAAGAAAGCTCACCCCAAATTAAGGCAGATCCAGAAACGGGACACCCTGAAGATGGAGCTCGGGGGAATGAAGAAGATGAAGAAGATCTAATAGGGAAATTTGAGAAGGAATTGGAAGACATTCTGCTACCTAAGTCTGAAATGGCCAAGCTGAAGGAAGAAGTGAAAACCGAAATGGAGAAGGAGTTTGACAACATCATTGATGAGGTCAGGATCCCTTGGAATAGCTCCATTTTGCAGTCCAACCTTCTGATCTGTCCCTCCCAAAAGAGTGATGGGGCCATTACTGGCTATTCCCAAGCCTTGCATCCCCATTTCCTTCCGTACCAGATGGAAGGAAATAGACTAGGAAATGAAATCCTAGACTGGGGAGGAGAGAGGAGAAGATTGCAGAGGAAAGGTAAAAAGATTGGCCCAGCAACATGCCCCTCTCACATTGCAAGCTTCCCAGAGCCCTACATATCCCACACATTGTCTGAGGGAGAGGTATGTCCCGTTCTTTCTCTTCCTTTCTGTTGGGTTGCTAGTTTTCCTCTAATTCTTGGCGGGGGGAGGGAGATGCCTGCTACTCAGTTGAGATTGGCTGATGGCATAGTTTTCAGCCCTGACTGCAGAGGTTTTTAAATATTACGATGAGAACTGCACACACTAAACTTATTGCGTGGAAACTAATCAAGGAGAGAAGCAACTTAGAACTAAGGAGAAATGTCCTGACAGTTAGAACAATTAATCAGTGGAACAACTTGCCTCCAGCACAGGGGTTGTGAATGCTCCAACAATGGAAGTTTTTAAGAAGATGTTGGATAACCATTTGGCTGAAGTGGTGTCAGGCTTCCTGCCTAAGCAGGGGGTTGGACTAGAAGATCTCCAAGATCTCTTCCAATTCTGTTATTCTATATTCTATTATCTCTTCAGTATATTAAGNTTCACAGTAAATTAATAAAAGGGGTTTTTGTTGGGATAAGGAGTTTGCTTCATGCTCTTGGGAAACGTTGGTCAGATCAGGATATAGCTTTCATGCCATAGCTCCAAGAAGATGCAAATTTTAAGTGTCCAAAATAGATTCCGGGTTTAAAGTGTTTCTAGGAGATGGATGGGAAATATTGATGCGTGAACACCTACAGAAATGCTTCCTGTGAGAGTCACATAGAATAGAGGACAAGTGTCTACAGTGTCCCATTGGGTTGAACTCTCATAACATAGCATCATTGGTTTTTTTTTCTTCCTTACCTTGATTCCAGTTTTTGTGTGAGGAAGGTTCGGGAGACTACATTGCCCGTATTGATGAGCCCCAATCCTGTTCCTATGTGCTGACGATCCATACCACCCGCATCTGCCACCACCCGTTTCTGCGGCCTCCATCCACAGCCACCCCTCAGTCCATCCGTTGTCACCCAGCCCTCAGCCCTGCTGAATATGTGGAATATGTCAAGGCCCAAGTATGTAAGTATACCCTGTCAGTAAAGAGGGAGAAGGCTCTTCCATACTTCCCTTAGTGAGGGTGAAAACTCAAGTCCTCATTTATTGTTTCCCTGAAATTGTTTCCAAATTCAGTGTCAAAAAGTGACTGTAGAAGCTTTTTTTACAGACGTGTGCTGAAATGATGGGATTCAATTTTTTTTACTACCAGTTCTTTGGGCGTGACTTGGTGGGAGTGGCAGGGGAAGGATACTGTAAAATCCCCATTCCCTCCAGATCAGCTGGGACTCGGGAGGCAGAGAATAGATGGGGGCGGGGTCAGTCAGAGGTGGTATTTACTGGTTCTCCGAACTACTCAAAATTTCTGCTACCGGTTCTCCAGAACTGGTCAGAACCTGCTGAATACCACCTCTGGTGTTCTGGCTTAGATCATCTTTTTTCTTATTTTTGATAGTTACATAGGATAGATGCAGGACTTGGAAAATTCTGCTCCCTACATCCTTCCTTATCCCTATATCTAAATTGGAATATAAACCATTCCAATTCATTACACTCAGGTTGAAAGGGGGAAAGAAAGGATTGTCCTTCTGTCCCATTTTCTATGGATGACGGGACAGAGTGATCAGGCCAATATAGGGAAGCGAGAGCCAGGGATCAGAGAGCAGCTTACAAATTTTCTCTGAGTCATTGAATGATTCAGATTTGGAGATTGGTTTAGTGTAACTATTAAGTTGGGTTCATGTTTGTGAGGTGTGCTTAGTGGTAGTGGTGGTGGAATGTATCTATATTTCCCATAAGAGGGAAACATGAGGTAGAATAAGTCTATGCATTTCTGTAGAAGGTCCTGCACCTACATGACATTGAAGAGAAAGAATTAGTAGAACTGCAAGGCATGGGATATCCATACTGCTTAGATTTATTGAATGGCCACCTTGTGCAAGCAGGGCGAATAGTCCATAGGTCTGAGGACCATGAGGTGGGGTGGTATCAGGGATTGTCCATTTGAAAGGTCCCTCAGCCCCTCTGCTGCTTCTCAGCTTTCCTTTAGTTCTGATTAGATTGTAAAAAGAAAGCTATACCCAATGCAATATTTGCAACAAAGAATCTACTAGTGATTCCTTTGGAGAAAAATGGGATGTTATAATGATGATCTGTTTAGTGATCAGACATCTTCATGGGAGTTAGAGTTTTATAGAGCATTTAATGTCTTAAATTGCTGCAGCTGATACCAAGCGCAAAGTGGAGGAAATTTCGGAAGAGCTGAAGACTTTAGACACACAGCTGTGGAATGAGCAGGATGCCAGCACTCCTACTCAGGATTCCAATGAGAATGGTAAGCTACTCTTACCTTTCCCTAACTGGGGCCTCCAAATTTCCCACGTCAGCCCAAACATGGTCAGCATGGTGTTATTGAGAATATCTGAAGGGCACTAGATTGAGGAATGCTTAATCAGAAAAGTATCATGGAAATGAGTTAACCTAGATGGTTTTCAGTGCCAAATTCCATCAAGAATGGCAACAATTTGTACATGTAGGCAGAAAGAGAAGAGAGAATGGACAAAAATGTCAACCTCTTAAACCAGGGGTGTCAAACTTGATTTCATTGACGACTGCATCAGGGTTGTGTTTGACCTTGGGGGCAAGTGAGCATGACCAGGGGCCAGCTTGATGTCACTCGTGTCGGCGCCTGTGGTCACCCGAGCACTCTGCCAGAGAAAAAGAACTGGATTTATCTTGATATTAAAATAAAACTGAGGTACTGATCTGATTTTTTTGGAAGAAGGTAAGTCCATAACCAGAGTGGCTCACAGAGTATCGCTCTTACTCTTTAATGCTTTTTTAAAAAGAATAAGAATCTTCCAGGTATAACTTAAGAGTGCTTTTGGTTGTAAAATAAAGAGCTGCCACATCTCGATTCAAATGGCTAAATAAAAATTTCCTAACTCATCAACGACCAGGACAGGGCAAGATCTACAATGTTTACCAATTTAAATATAAATATCATCATTGCTTGCAGCATTTCACTATACTTTCAGTACTCTGTTTTGTATTGTGATTCAAATGTAATTAATTTAATTTAATCTTAAAAAAACTAACAAAATTGGCTGAAAAACAAGGACAAATAGACTGAAAAACAGCTTCTATCCCAGAGCAGTAACTATATTGAATTCTACTGCATAGTGGAATACTAATGCAATATCAGGGGTTTTCAATCCAATTGTATAGAATATGATGTGTCTTTTTGTTTTATTGTTTATTTATAATGTACACTGAAGATGGCATTTAATTTCAATTGTACGAGGTGCAATGACAATAGTGTAAATTAATTTATGGACAGAGGAGCAGTGTTTTAGCTACAGAAGCTGAGGACAACTAGTTCCTTTCTTCTAAAAAAAATTAACATTTTTGTATTATGGGCTGGGTTAATGGCTTCTTTTTAACCCCACACTCCTTATGTGTGATATTGCGAAAAACCTAAAATGGCTGAACTAGATATAAATAAGTTTAAAGCAACCACACAACCATACTCTATTTTCAAATGGGAAACTTTTCTATAAGCAAATGAAGGTGGCTAGGTCCTGTTTTTTAAAAAACTCTTTTTACTGGATTTCTTATCAGTGTGAGAACCAGCTCTCATACCACGCTTCCGATTTCAAAATGATTGGGCAGCTTCCTTTTTTGTAAATGTAGTGAGTAGAATAGCACTTAGACTTATGTACTGCTTTGTATTGCTTTTACAGCCCCCTCTAAGCAGTTTACGGTATCAGCGTATTGCCCCCAACAATCTGGGTCCTCATTTTACCGACCACAGAAAGATGGAAAGTTGAGTCAATCTTGAGTCAGTCAGAATCGAACTTCTAGCATTTGGCAGAATTAGCCTACAATATTGCATTCTAACCACTGCACCACCACATCTATAAATAAAAACCTCTCAAGAGGACATGAGGTCACATGGTGTCATCTTGGTTCACGAATGCCTGGTCGTTATAGAGATGCTTGGCTTGGATGTTTCCCTCTCATTTAATGCCTTTTGCTTTGCTTCTTTGACCAGTGGCCCCAGCCCCTTCTCCTCCTCTTGAGAGTGAACCTGGGGATGAATCTGAGTTTTGGGAGAGAATGGTGCTGCACAGAGAAGGGAAAGCAGCTCAAACTCCAGACCAGACAAAGGTAACTTCCTATCACCATATTGCAATTTCAGTTATTTCTAAGACGGTGATGTTAAACATGGACTCCTATCTCAAAACTGGGCATGCTCTCTTTTGGACTGAGATTTTCCTTTTGCTGGAGTAAGACAATCCCGCCTTTTATTTTGTACATCTCTCTCATGGTCTCTGGTTTAGTTTTCTGCTTGATGATCTGTTTTAATTTANTGTGGTTAAGGACCTCTTGGAGAAGGAAGGCCTGAAGGCAGAAGGTAATGCAGTCATGCTACCTGGGATTGGTGTGTGTGTGTATGTGTGTGTGATAATAGGAGTCCATGTTTAGGCTGGGGGTGGGGGGGGGTCATATGGTTTGTCAGGGGCCTTTCTAGGGCAGAGTGGTCAAGGACACGAGGCTGCCAGCAGTCCAGAATTGCAGGCTGCACACTGTCATGGACATCTGGATGCTAAGCTGGTTACTCCATTATCTTGATTGATTGGTTGGTTAATTTATTTTCTAGGATGTTTTTTCACGTTGCCCATGTTTTTTCTGTAGTGAGTTTAATTGGGAGAGCCTTTAACTGATTGGTAGAACAAGCATCTTTAGCTCCTTGCATGATCTTTCTTCCCATGTACAAACAATCCCAAGTTCCATCCTTGCATTTCAGATTCCATGATTTTAGGTACCAGTGCTAGAAAAGGCCTCTGGTTGGAAGCTGACTGTAGAACAGAATTGTCAGTGAAAGGATCTCATTAAAAATATTAAAAGGACACAGATGGTACCTGTGAACAACCAAGATATGCAATTCATCATTTATGTTCAGTGCTTCTTTAAAAAGAAACAAAGAACACGCAAGATACATTGAGTCCTGTTAATTACCAGGAAGGAAATAATGAAATGAGTAGTGTAAGAAATCGCCCTAGTGTAAGAGCTGTGTGTACCTTACATTACTCTTTTTAAAATATGGTTAGTGACCAGGGAGCGTTTTCTAAAGCTGTATCATTAATGATGGGGAGTCTTGTTTGATTAGCTCTTTGAGGTACAGATAAACTGGAAAGGAAAAGATAAACCATCATTCTCCAATAATTTGTCATCTGACATTTTTGTTTTTGTTTTTAAATAAATTTGCCCATTTATTTTGCCTACAATGGATGTAGACTGAAAATAATTATCTAAAGCCAAAACATAACATTAATCTATACTATAATTTTAATGTACACACCTCCCATAAAACTCCAAACAATAAAATAAATGCATTGTTTGTGGACAATGAGAGTGGGAAAAATGGATTTATTGGCAAAATTTAAAACTAAAATATTTACATCTGCTCTGGACTCTATCTGCACCCCGCAAAGAGACAGGAGACACCTTAGTTTGGAAAGCCCTGATCTAGACTGCACTTACTGGGTGGCTGGAGGGCTACAACAGAAGGGCAAGAGTGTAAAATGGGGAAGAGGCTATGCCATGTATATGGGTAATGCAGGGTCAGAAGTTTGCAGGGTATTTCTGCAGAGAAATCATTCCTCCCTCCATCCTTCCTGATTTCCAGGAGCCACAAAGGCAGCACGCAAGAGCCTCAGGTTGCCAATAAAGTAGTTTTCTGGATCATGAAGTAATATTGCTTTTTGTCCCATGAAAATATTGGTCACAATGTATAAGTACCTAGTGTTACAATAACAGTTTGATGTGTAGAATCTGTTCATTAATAAGTCAATTCATTTCTTTGTGGAAAAATAAGTTTTTTCATAGTTTTCCAAGAATCCATTTTGCCCTTCTAACGTCTAGGATGTGTGCTTTTTTTGTTACTTTTAGGTGCTTTTTTATCCTAAGCATTGACACTTCCTACTAGTTTATGACCTGAGACTGTAGCTTTTTGTGTTGGTTACTTTGGTGACCAAACAAAGAATAAAGATTGAGCAAATGGCAGGATTTTGTTCCTTGAAGATCAGGCTTAAGGATATTGGATTAACCATCCTGTGATCCAGCCAACACCCCCCTCCCCTCCATATAAACTCTTTATTATATGATTCTTAAAGACCTTGCTGACAAAATTGAGAGGGGTGTTAAACCAATCTCATTTTGCCTCAACTGATTTTTCCCCCCATAGGTGTTGTAAAGTCAGAGAAAGGATAGGCATCCAGGATGTGCCAACTCATTTCTTGGTTCTAGCAAACAAGATTTCAATGTGCTCAGTATTTGTTTGTCTCCATTCAACTTGTTAGCAGTAGTTTCAGGTGACATATCCTCTTCTCCTCTTATAGTGAGAGAAGCAGGGTCAATCACAGTCACAAATTTAAGATGACACTGGGTTTGGGCTGAGGCCAGAGCCAGGTTATTCTTCTAGTGGTTTTATCTTTTGCCATTCCATTGCTTCTCTTATTTAGAGAATCTGCCCTGTTTTGCCCAATAGCAAGAGGGAAATTCTAAGAATTGTAGTTTCAATATGTTTGAATGGCAGTAAATTAGAGAAGATGATCAGAAGGCTCTTGGGACTGCCATTAATGCTTGATTCTCTATGATTGGCAGGAAAAATTGAAATCAAGATTGTGACAACTGGTGGTTTTGGAGATGATGATGATACCCACTGGCTTTCAGAAGAAGACACCAAGAACCTCAAAGACATTTTCTTCAATATTTTGGTAAGGACTTAACATCCACACTAATATAATGGGGGGAAATGTTTCCTTCCTATCATCTCAGCCTAACTACGAAATTGCTTAGAGTATACAAAGCTAGGAGGCTGGCTTCAGGGATTTCATTGGGAGAGCAGCATTTTGTGTGCATTGTGGCAGTGTGGGAGAACTCTGATGGGGAGTTTCTCACATTTGAGGAACAAGGGTGGGGCAGCAAGGAAGAAAAGTCCCATTGTGTGAGAAAAATTCCCTTTGTATAATGTTGCACTCCACTTCTTCCTTGTTGGCAGAAGGGACCAGTTGGTGAATTTTGGGAAGCTCTCTTCAAGAGATGGCAAAGGTGAAAAACCAAATCAGGTTTCAGAGTGGAATTATAGTGCTCCCGTGCATTTCAGTGTGTTGCTATAAATTAATCCCAGGGAAATACTGGCAGTATTTTTCAGCCCTTTGAGGAAGAATGGGAATGAGCACTAGGCCTTTTAGGTTTTTTCCCCTCTCAGTGCAGCAAAGAGCTTCAGCCAAAAATTAATCCCTTTTGCCTTATAAGTGGTGGGTCTGTCTGTCTGTTTGATTGCTTTGCTATTTGTTTCTTAGATCCAGGGCACAGAGGAAGCACATAAAGAGCAACGGCGGCAACGCCAACTGGAAGACAACTACCGTTTTGTGTGGGGGCGTAACCAGGAGGAGCTCCCTAGCACTGGTGGGACCGAATCGGATGACTTAGACTTTTGATCTTTTGCCAATCTTCAGAACTCTGGCATTCATGGAGGCTCCTTGGTAGGATTTGGCAGGCACCATTTCCCTCATGTGCATCAGGAGGACCAATTTGTTTTGTTGCTAGAATCTCTGTTGAATGCGCATAAGACATTGGCAAGCCCAAGGCAAGCACCATTCAGACAGAGCTGTGAATTGTCTCCTTTAAAGCTCTTGCTGTCAAGTGAGTTTCTCTAGGGCATCCACTGCGACATTTCCTCCCGCACCTTAATGGCTTCTGTAGGGCTGCCTCAGATGGAGACAGTGGCATTTCTGCAGGTTCCAAGCTTTTCCTCCTTTTTCAAACTATTGGCCTCAGCCTCGATGCCCAAATCTTGGCTTCAAAATGATTAATGATGCGCACAAAAGAGAATGAAAGAGAGGAGTCCCGTACAAAAAAAAAAAAAATCCCACCGATTCATCTCAGGTGTGAATCAAGTCGGGGAGCTTAAAACTGGTGCCCTTTTGTTTCTAAAACCCTCATCAATTGGAAGGATCTCATGTTTCTTTGTCTCACCTGTGTGCCTTGAAACGCCAGAGGAGAGGACACTCTTTCCTTGTGCAGTGTTGATCTCCTCCCAAACAGTTTATTTTTCTTTAGGTCTGAATGTTTGAATTGTGAGCAAGCCTGCTCCAGCGTACAGGCTGCCCTTGACTATCTTCATTTCTGGAGCAGTAAGCTAGGACACATCCTGTGTGTACTGAAATCAGCAGAGAAATGTGGTGGAGGGTTGGGAGAAAAGCTACTGTAGGCTGATCTTCCTAGCCCCATTGTTTCACATGCTAAAGGGCCTTAGACATAGGAGTATGTGAACTGCATTAAAATGCTTGCTTTGTAACAAAGATTCATGGAGGTACGGGACTGGCTGTTCCTTCTGTGAAGTCTCAAGAAGGGAAGCTAGCTGAAATTTATGATTTATTTCCAATGCCATTGAACAGTCTGGGCTGCTGCATGGGTGACTGGAGGTGAGGAATTGCGGCTCACAAGAAGCAGTCAGGCTGAAGAAATAGTGTTGCCTTCCTTGACACATCCAGGACAAATTGCAATTCATTTTTCTATCAATAAATCCAGATGAACCCAACTAGAGTTTGGTGTTTACTTATGTGACTCTGGAAAGTATTGGCTACAGAAGTGCCCTGAGCAGAGCATCAAGTCCTTTCACTATTAAAATAAATAAGGTGGTTTTCTTGTAAAACAAAGCATCATATCCATATAGGCATCTGCTGTAGGAATCCGTGATCACTCTAATTTATTTTTTTGGCTGATACAATAAATGCTGCCTTACGGAACTTCAGTGAAGGTTATTTTTGTAAAAGATCTTGATGGGAAAGGAACTGATTCTTTTGCAACTTAATAAACAAAAATTAACTACTAATTGTAACACCAATGACTGAGGCAAAGGAATGGTCTTCTCTTAAGTTTAGCAGACAATCTATTCCATTCTGTTGAGGTCCATTATATGGTCACCAGAAGCATCCAAGAACTTCCAAGGTATTTCCCTCAGTGCCACCCAAGTTCTTTACGCCACCTGACTTGGTTTTAAGTTTTAAGAGGACTTAAATGCCAACCATTGTGGATGAGGCATAAAGCCTGATATCTGTAACAGGGACTTTAGAAGCCCAAAGAATGTGTTCCTCTATCTGAAAGATGCCCACTTGTGTTTCAGCTCTGGCACCAGCTCCACCCTGGGGTGAGTTGTGGACAGCAGTTTTAATCTGAGAAGCCCTAACAGCTTGAAAGGTATTGTACCACAGGAGGTGTTAGGCTCTAAAGAACAGTTGGCTGGTTTTTTTTACTGCTGTGCAGTACTGTCTGTGCAGCAACATTTCTGCCCAAACTCAACTTTGTTCCAGAACTGGTGATGATGATTTCCTCTGAGACAGAAGGTTCCACCTGCCTTAAAGGAGATGGTGATATGTTCCCTCTTCAAGATCATTTGGTGAATAATCCTGGAATATTTTCCTCTGGCCCACAACTATATTGCTAGTAATAAAGATTGTTGAGAAGTTCGTCAAGTTCCAGCTTCAGAGGGCATCAGGAGGTATCATTTGGGTTTCAGTTCAAGAGACTAAGAAATAGCACTAAGACACATTAAGCACACTTCTGTTTGACCCTGGGTGGAGGTAATATGCTTCAGTGATATCAGTTATGGTATGCTTGGTGGGGAGGATTAGGAGTAGAGGACATAGTGTTGTGGTAGATCTCATTTCTCTGTGGTCGGTTGCAGTAGGTTTTAGCAAAAGGGAAGAGTTGAACCCAAAGCCCCATCCCTTCTTTCATCCTTTCTGTTTTATATCTACATGAATCATTGGATGAGATAATCCATTGGTGTGGAATCAAATATCAACTTCTTCAAATGACGACGGTACTCATATATTTTGGTCCTGGTCAACAAGTGATACTATCAAGATCTTGTCCAAATGGTTGGAGGCAGTTTAGGTCAAGGGTGACGGAGAAAACAGATTTAAGTTAGCAAAACCAAGTAGCTATGGAGGAGGAAGAGTGCACATGTAAATAGTTCTTGTAGAGAGACGAAGAACAAAAGTTGGGAACTGGTTGCTATGTATTTAGAGAGCCAAGAGTTCTACTAAGATCTGACTGCCCAACTGTTGTTAACTGACAATTCTTCAATGTAGTGTGGCTGCTGATTGTTGCTAGTCATTTGGTTAACACTTCTGTGCTATCCAGGGTGCCCCAAGAGGAGGTGAACTAGCATCACATCCCCAGACAACCACCTGCAAGACAACCAGCTCAACAAACATCCAGTGTAACTTCCCACCAAGTAGCCTCCCGAGTTGTCTCCCTCTCTAAAGCCCCAAGGGTGAAAGAGCACTCAACTACTATCAAGAAAGCTCTCTCAGTTTTTCGACGGTTGGCTTCAACACACTCCGAATTCACCCACCCTTTCTCTGTGGATGAAATCAACACAGCCATCAACAATCTGAAGTCTGGCAAAGCACCAGGTTTTGATGGCATCCACCCTGAATTTCTACTTCATTCTGGGAGACTTAACAAAGAATTGGCTCAGAAAATTCTTTTCAAACATACTTTCTAGTGGACACAACCCACTATAATTAAAAAAAAGAAAGTAATATTGTTTCTGAAACCTGGCAAGCCACAAGACAGAGTAGAAAGCTACCGCCCCATTGCCCTTCTCGATTTTGTTTCCAAATTTCTGGAGAAACTTATCATAAACAGACTTGGATCCACAATAGATACATTTCTGCCAGTGGAACAAGCCAGCTTTTTTCATAATCGCAGCTGTGTTGATCAGGTGCTGAGCCTACAGGAGATATCAAGGCTGGCTTTCAGCGAGGCTTAAAAACCACAGCTGTGTTACTGGAGCATACAATACTTACTGCAGCATACAATACTGTGTGGAAGAAGGGTCTGCTTTACAAATTGAGTCATATCATCCCCGGTAAAACCATCTATCGCCTAATAAACAGCATGCTCAGTAATAGATCCTTTCATATCATTATGGGGGACAATGTTAGCAAGTTAAGAAGACTCAACAACGGCCTTCCACAAGGTTCTGTACTGGCATCCACACTGTTCAATCTTTATAGCTCAGATTGTTCTGATCTAGGCTTCCCCAAAAAGCACAAGGCAGATTACTGGTCCCGACAAAACCTCTTTTATTAAACGAATGTGAATTCCTCTCATTCACATTCAGCAAAGGCCTGGTGAACAGTCTTTCAAAGGTGAATTTATGACCACAGACCTTGTCTGGCTTGGAAAGCTGCCATGTAAATATTTTCCAAACGCAGTGCTGTGCAAGGAAAGACTGGGCACAGAGTCTCTGAGATTCACAGACAGATCTTCACACTCCTGAAATGAACCAATTGTTTCCTGCAAAAGCCCACTCCCCTTTCACTCTTCTTTTATTTCCTATGGGAGAGACAATTCACAGTCCACCTGTGGCTTTACTCCCAAGTCTACCCTGAGTTTCTTAGCTGTTCTTTTCTTCTGGCAGCTCTGCGCATGCGCACACTGGGAACAGGCTCCAGCAGCTCCTCTGCCTCACTGCTGTGTAGCTCTGAAGGCAGCTGAAAACTGCCAGATG